CTGATACTTGACATTAGATTATGATTATAATCACAAAAATTTTGATTTTATTGCATTTCATACTACTACTATTAGTACTATTTTAATGTATTCACACCCCTGATTCGATTCCCTCACCGGAGAACCATATATTATATACGATTGTACAGCTTGATAATAAGTTTGTTGATAAGAGTCTCTTAGGCTGAATCACTTGTTTTGGTTTTCTATATTGTCCCAAAGGTGTAATTTTTTTTCACGAATTATCCTAAAATGCTTGACATTCCATGTTGTTGCATTTGTCATTTATCAAATCATTCTTCGATTAAGTGACTGAGTGGTGACGGACTCACTTCGCGTGAACTGGTTCTTTTGTTTGAGTATGACACGTTGCTATAAAGTCGTAAAGTAGTACAAGTGTCCAGTGCTATATTGTCTGAAATAGTCCTATGAAGCGATAGCGGTTGGAGAAAGTATGAACCTTTTTCAAAATTGATCACGAACTGACTACAGTTGAACAAAATTATTGAAAACCAAGGATTAGTGTACAGATGTTTCATTCGCGTTCGCGACTCCTTGGGAGTAACCACCCATATGGTGACCAAGGGTCGAATTCAGGTGGTTTTGTTGACCATTCGGTTATTGGGACGGTGTCCAATGGCCTATCAATCCTAACATCTACCAACTGGTGATATATAGTACCACCACCAGCTAGTCAACAGGAGGGAGTCTTTGTCTTCACATCCAACTTGGTGGACGTTGATGAATAGACTTCTCACTATTGTCAGTTATGTGTGCGCGCTAGTGAAGAGTTTAAGACCAAGACGAAATAACTGTCCATTACTCCCCGGTTTTCAGTGGTTCTGTGACTAAAGTCAATTCGTAATCAACCGTGAAGTGAATAAAATGCTGCAAACCAACACTTGAAAATTAGCCTATTTGTAAAACGACCTATTTGTATCAGATATATTTGAACTCGATTACCTAGATGAGATCCTTAATGTATCAAGCTGAGAGCTTCACTTATTGTGCGAGGACTGGAACCCCATACCCGATGAATGAAAGTCTAGTGCTTAAGACGGTGATCCACTTATTTTCATTTGTTTCAGATAGATAGCAACCTAGGACTAGTGGATATACTTCCAGTTTTCATTTAGGAAGTAAATTAAAAATGGTGACCTAATATTATATATATATATTGTGCGTCGGTGGTTCAGCTGTAGGAGCACTCGCCAACCACACTTGTAGTCTGCGCTTCCATCCCCGGCTGACTCACTCCTTAACGTCGCTTAGAGGGAAGGCTAGGCGTGAAGCCAGTAACCCCGCTTCATAAAAACAAACAGAAGTGCTGCTGAAACTTCGAACCTTAAGCTCGAAGCCCTGTGCTTTGGACGCAAACGAATAAAACTATACCTTTTGAATAGTGATACTTTTATTTACTAACCTGTCTTTTGGAGACTGGTGTCAACTATCATGGTTTCCTGTTCTGCACAAAGAAACCATGATTACTTTTGATAGGAAGTGTTATGTGCGGATTTCATGGTTTTCACGAATTTCAGTCTGATGTTTGCGGCAAATGACGAGAAAATGTATCCTTTTTTTCTGTAAAATTTGATAATATGCATTGTACATTATTCGTCAGGAACCCTGTATTAGTGGATGAATATCATCACTGAGGATTATCATGTTGACCTACCTTATAATGATCAAGTTAGATCAGGAATTGAGGTCAGTTAGTGAACCATTAGAAGTCAGGGAATATTCAACATCTGTTTGATATTTATTTTGAGTTTTTCAACAATACGCACGCATTACCTACCTTTCTGGCTATAGGACTCGGTTATTAGATGATCCCACTGTCTATGAATTCTAACATCTGCCGAATTGTAATGTATAACACTACCATTAGCCAGTGTGACTGGTGACTGACTGAGTGCCTGTCTTCACATCCAACTTGGTAAACTCCAGCCGCTGCAGTTTCTCATTGGAACTCATGAAACTACGAAGGAAAAGCTATCCACTAGTCCGTTACTTTCAATAGTTCTCTGCGACACATAATGATGCCTTCTAAGTTACAAGCACCCAATAATTAGTGTACTTTATTTTCACCGCATTTCTCCCCCTTTTATTTAAAGGTTGCTCAAGTACAGTCGACTGTACGAGATTTTCTCCGGGTGCATGAATCTAGTCTTGATACAAATATCACAGGTCGAGTACTTGCTAATATATTTCATGGTATATCAACTCCTCAGTTTCCTGCAACTACATGGTCACGTTGTCATCGATTTTGGAAAGCACATATGAATATCGATTGGCCAAGTATAAAAAGAATTGCTACACAAGAATTATTGATTCATTATACATGTACCTGAATTATGTCAATTATTTATGTTGTGTTGTATTCAGATGGGACTAGAAAATAAACTATTTTTATATTAATGTATATATATAAATATCTGTACTTAATAATGTGAATAAATGGTTATTTTTCTAAATAATCCTATGAATTAGTGAGATTATAATAAATGACTTCTAGTTAATATTCGTCATTGTTGAACAATCTAGATAAAAGTATTGAATAACAGGCTTCAATCATCGTTTAGAATTATTGTTCGTCGCTAAACAACTGCACAGAGAAAAGCATGAATGTGAATAGACGTTGTCATATTTCGAAAAAATGCAGTAAAAATTTCCAGAAGTGTTCGATAATAATAAGTGAACGAATTTTACTTACCCTATCCACAGCACAAAAATCCTCAAATATCTGGAGAACGTTTCAGTTAGAATTCATGGGCTAGCTATTAGGTCAGGTCTCAGCGGCTGAATGGTCTGCGAGCTCGCCTTCTAACCGGAAGTTCCTGGGTTTGAACCCCTGTGGCGGGGGTGGGTACTGGTGAATAGTCCCTAAATGGGACGGAGGAAACGGTTGTCCAGTACTCCCCCCAGTTGGTTCTCTAACCGATGATGTTGGCTAATGATGAAATCTTATAACCCATCAAATCCCTGCAAACCAACCCTTATATAATTATTGGATATTTCAAGTGCATTGTACTACTACTACTTATTGTCATTTTTAAGTACACAATAATTCCCCACTGACTTTGTTTATTTTCAGAATGAGAAGCAACATAAACATGTCTTTTGTTACTAGGGATAAGGATGAAAGCATACTTGCTGTTTCTATCTTTATATACATCCCATCTGGAAACACGAAGACCTTGTATGAAGTGAGATATATTTGCACGATGGGGAACTGCTTTCTAAAATGAGGCGGATGTGTCTATGTTAAAGACAAGGATAAAAACGCTCTTTATTTTGTCCGTAAACAGCATTTCCAACCTTTTTTGCCAAAAGTATACATGCTTTCTGATGAAATCTCATCATGAAGGTAGTGAGAAATGAATGAGTTTTATGTGATTTATTTCTGCCAAGGCACTCCGAGTATGAAGGAAAGTTCCCCATATCAACATATTACGAAGGCAAAACTACAACGGCGATTACTAACACTAATACGGGCTTCCAGTTAAAGCTCAAGATTCATTCCTGAACTGATAGTTACAACCGATAGAGAAAGCTAGATAGCATGAAGAGTTGAGTGCAATGACTTCTCATATTTTGTCCTAATACCGTTCAGATAAGTAAAATGAAACTGGGACTACGACTTGAAAGTCTCAATAATATTTCTGGAAAGGAAAACAAAGGATGTCTTGCAATACTTACTAACGTCGACAGCTGATACAATGAATTTTGTGCGCAAACAATAAGCAGTCACATGTGCGTATTTACTGGATAGTAGGTTTTTGAAGTTGTCATATCCTGTTCATACACACGGATACAACTGATCCCAGGGATAAATGTCCAACATCATATATAGCGAAGCATATTAAAGAGATTTCAATAATGCCTTCAAAACCCATTTATATATATATATATATAACAAGGTTGCGTCACATACTTAAATTCGTTGAAGCCTTGGCCATAAAACAATTAAACCTGCCTTGGTAATCCAATTTATGACCAAGGTTCAATTTACTTCATAATATTTTCAACCCCTTCTTTGCTTTGGCTTTTCTTTCTTACCCACAACCTTTGCGTCATCTCCCCTACCCATTATTTGTAACTTGAACTGTACATAGTCTGACATGTATTGTACCGATTCACGCCTTCTGTATAACTATGCATGACAACAAGTACATGTGTGAGATTAGAATGTCCGAGATGTGTTGCGCAAATGCATTACACATTTCAGATGAACTATGTCTTCTTATTGTGTTGTCGAAAATAATAAAGGGAACTAACTGCTTTAAATAATAGTTATATTACTAGTAAACTTCTTATACAACAAAAGGATAACACTGCAATTATGATCCCACAAGTTATAAATCATATAGTTCGAGGTATACATAATTCTTAACTGCCACATATCTTCTGCTACACATTTTAGAAATTCTCACCAACTAAATTATATGCGAAGGCTGAACATTAGTGCAATTAAATACAAAATTTCAGAGATCTGCAAGTGGAACTGTATTTCGGAAATGAAGGAAAATTTTTACTTCAGATTCACAATAATGGAAAAACATATTAGATTTTTTTAGAAAAAACAAAATAATAAGGTCCTATGAAGTTAAATCACACCACAAAAAGATACAATCTTTCTGAGAATAAATAAGTACAAAACTATTCTCAAGAAGTAAATTAGCGTATGAGACTCAATCAATTTTGAGTATACATATGATGAGAACGTTCACATATTCTCTAGTACTTTCTGTTGACCTTTTACCTCCAGACTATTCTTGTACGCTCATAGAAGAGTTATAATCACGCTTCCAACAGGCGCAGCCACGAATTACACAATAGCAAAGTTCCAAAGAGCGCATGAAGAATATCTTAGACATATGTACATGAGCGGCTTTATATAGCACATTGTGTTCAGAAATTGTCGATTGCAGTAGTTATAAAAATGTGATTAGCTATGATAATGTAAGTGAAAATTAGGACTTCAAAAAAATTGAATGATATTATTCGTTAGCAGCCGATGACTGTTGAGTCGATGACAGAGCTTGATGCTGATGTGCTTGTTGACGAAGAATTCTTTGGACTTGAGCTTCAAGTAGGTCAACATGCTTCTCAGCATTAGTTACTTTGCTGTCCAGTTGAGATAACTTAACTCGGCAGGAGGAGTCAAAATGATTAAGGAAGTTTACTAAACTTTTCATATTTGTGCTGAGAATCTCAACACACTCACGATTTCCCCAATCATCTTTAATTTCTTTTGTAGTTTGGGAGTCTAATGCCATGTGTGACGACCAGTTATTAATACGTTCAAGTCCAACTTATTTGTAAAATGGTGTGTAGAAGTGTTTACAAATTCCGTGACAGGAATCTGCCTAGCCAGTACGATAATCTGAAAGGGAAAATATGAAAGTGAAACAAGAAATTAGCAAACCAATAATATATGATGGTAGTGCTTAAAAACCCTGCGACTTTGAAAACTTCTTATTCGATAGATAAATCATATCCAGATATCAGTTTAAATAGTCACACACGCTAAAAAAAAGAGAAGTGTAACCGCACTGTAATGGACATGGGTGTTGGGTAAATTAGCGAAGATAATAGAAGGCAAATTAAGAAGTATCGTTGAACCAAGGTGCGTCAGTGGTTCACAGATAAAGTGACCGTCAACCACTCATATGGTCCGGGGTTCGATTCCTGACCGATGCACTCTTAAACTTCACTGAGTCGGTAAAGAGGGATGATTGGGTGTAAGGCTAGCAACCCCACGTAGCAAAATAAAAATCCACTGCTAGCGAAACTTCAAAGCTCTAGCTTGAAGCCCCATGTTCCACTTGGGAGGCAAACGAATAAGTCAGACAGTAATTATAAATCAAGGTACTAAGACCCTTCAAACCTTTTGTTCCAAGAGTCTCAGCTTGATATGCGTAACACACAACTACACTCAATGATTTACTCCATTGGTGACTGACTTACATGCTTCAACCAACACCGATTTTAACACAAATCACTATCTGACATAAGCAAATAAAACAAACAACTCTTATAGATAAGAACCTATGATTCTCTTGTAGGTCACAAATGCGCAGCATCGATATGTAGGAAAATATCTGTGATAAAAATATTGCGAAGATGACGTACAAGCTGTCTCTATCGGCTATGAGGATGTCAGTAATTAGTTCATGTCATTAAATAGTAGGAGGAACCTAGGTATCCAACTGCGTTAATGCATCATTATCATGCAATCTAAAATAACCAAGACTTTACCCAGAAGGCTGTTTATCTAATAACCGTTTTCGTATGACGTGGGTTCTATTTTCACCAATTAGTAGAGCTTTTCTACAAACACGACAAAATTCCTCAATCTAATGATGTGAGTGAAATGACAGAAAATCCAAGTAAAATATGAAATTTGGAAACCAAAAAACGGAAAAAGTACATTTAAACAGTGACTTTAGGCGCACTGCAGAACATTGGGACACATTCAGAGCGCACTGCGCATTTCATTGTTTTAATAAAGATATATATAGTGACCTGAAATATTGTGGTAAAAACCAAATCTCGTGTAAAGTAAATAGTCCGAAAATATAGCAGGTAAAGTCAAATTACAATGTTATGTGTTACACTTACAATAGAAGCGTTTACGACAAAACGTCCGCGCTAAATCTCCGATATCCAATAACTACAACTAGTCAGAAGTGAATTCTTTCAGCCTATTTTTCTGGAATAAACTGGAAAGACTTGATATTTGGTGGTTTCCTAAGCGTTCTTTACATCCCCTGTTCAGCATAAGCTACGGATGATCCAATATCCAATATCGTTTTTACGAGCTAGTATAAACCAATTTGATTTCTTTGTGCTCGCTTCTTGATTGTGAGGTATAGGTTCTTGATCTTCGGTAAACTTCTGCGTAGCTTGTCCCGCCACTCGACTGTCGTAGCTTTGGTTGACTCCAAAGGGAGTAGTGCTGGGATTAATTATATGTGGTTTGTAGTATGAGGTATGTTAAGACTGTTACTACTGTGATTGGAGTTGATCCTTTCGCCAGTTAGTCCTTCGGTATTGTCGACAAGAGAAAAGAGATAGTAATAATAATAATAGATATAATTAGTGAAGCTATTCAGACTAAGAGACAGAAACGAAAATAGGAAACGTAACAACAGTCAGCTCATTAAGTTTGAAGAATAATATATATATCGGTAATAGTAATAATAATAATAGTAATTATAATATTAATAAGTTGTCAGGAGAGTAAGACGGGAGAGAATGTAAAGAAGTAAAATGACGAGTTTAATTATCTACCCTGATTGGTAAATGCGATTTTAAGGAGATAGGCCATTTGGATGCAGTCCTTGTATCGCTGCATGGTTGTCCAGCCTTCGCTTAAAGGCGTCCAAAGACGGTGCCATAGCTACATCTGCCGGTAAGGAATTCCAGGGACGACAAACCCGCAGTGAAAAGAAGTGGGAGCGCACCCGGGTCCTTGCCCTCTGGTGAGCTATCCTTCTGGGATTTCCACGTGGAAGCCTATACCTACTCAATGGCAGAACACCTTTGTTTGGGTGATTCTGGTCATTTGTTATTTTGTAGGCAGTAATCAAATCCCCCCTAAGCCGACGGTAACTAAGTGTGAACAGGCCTAATTTCTTCAGCCTTTCATCATATGGTTTGTTTCGGAGACCAACCACTCCTTTTGTTGCCCGTCGTTGGACTCTTTCCAAGAGGTTGGCATCTCTTCTCAGCATTGGGGGTGCAATAATATTATGCACCTCAAGGTGTGGCCTGACGTATGTTTTGTACAACATTAGAAAGAGCTCAGGAGTGAGTGCACCTAACTGTCTATGCGTAAAGTGTATGACCGCATATGCCCTCGCTACATCCCCTGTGTAATTTACGCTTGTGTCCATTTTTTCCGTTAGAACTAGACCTAAGTCGCGTTCCGACGTTGTGCAGGACAAGCTTTCATTGCACAGGGTGTAACTTGCATTCTGCAGTCTACAGGTGCGCAACTTCACTACTTTGCACTTTTTCAAGTTGAAAGTCATGCCACTGGCCACCGCCCAGTCTTCCAGAAGGTTTAGGTCTTCCTGTAGCCTATCTGAGTCCTCCGGACACTTTATCGCCCTCCATATTTTTACGTCGTCAGCGTACAGGAGAGTCGGGCAGCTCAGACGGCGTGGTAGATCATTGATGAAAATCAAAAACATCAGTGGTCCTAGGATAGAACCCTGCGACACTCCTGATGACGATCTGTGCCAAGATGATCGGACTCGGTTAACCTTAGTGCAAAATTGCCTGTCGGCTAGGTAGTCCTTCAACCATGACAGAAGTGGCTCACCTATGCCTGCCTGGCTTATTTTATGTAGGAGAAGGTCATGGTGAACAGTGTCAAATGCCTTCTCAAAGTCTAGGAAGACCACATGGACTGGTACGTTCAAGTCCCAGCATGATGTCCAGTCGTCCCAAGCTGACAGTAGGTTAGTGACGCAGGATCTGCCTTTTCTGAAACCATGTTGGGCTTCATGTAGTATATTAGTCCTATCGAAATATTCCCTGATGTGGTCGTCAATAATACTTTCCAGTACTTTTGATACCACTGGGAGTAGAGCTACTGGTCTATAGCTAGCAGCGTTTTGCCTGTCCCCACCCTTGAAGATTGGAGAAAGGATGGCTCTTTTCCACTCCCTTGGCAGGGTCCCCGAATCCATTGAGTGTTGGAACAAGTCGCACAGGGGTCTACAGAGAGCCTCGGCGCACTGTTTCAGAACAGATGGCCTGATGTCATCACAACCTGGGGACTTCCCAGGTATGAGTCGCTGTAGCTTCCTTAGTACTATTGCGGGGTTTATTTGGGGAGTAGTCGCTAGGTCTTCCTCCTCTGAAATAGTGGTGCCACCATTTTGGTCCGTAACTGTAATATCCACATTGCTGTTTAGCTGTTTAGCGAAGGCTGAACTGAATGTTTCAGCCATCTCCAGACTAGTGAGATATTGACCGTTTGGGCCTACTAAGGCGCATGCCCCTTGGTTTGTCGGTTTTCTTTCCGACATGAATCGGTACAAGTTTTTAGGGTTTGATAGGAGTTTTTTAGCAAGGTTAGCCTGGAATGACCTTCTGTCCCTCCTAACTCTTGCATTACACCGGTTCCTGAGTTCGAGGTATGCATCATGGTCGGTCTGACTCTTAGATACACGCCACGTAAACCAAGCCTTCCGCTTTGCTTGCAGAATACGTTGCGTGCCTCTCTTCAACCATGACGTCTTTCTCTTAGGCTGTGTTGTGACTAAAGGGACGGTATCCGAGATTGCTGTATGGATAATCTTTTTTACCACTTCCCAGTGTTCATCCACAGATAGGTCGTCCCATGCTAAGGGCCAGTCTGCGTCGGACAAGAGCCTCCGCATTTCAGCATAGTCAGCCTTGCTGTAGCACAGACATGGTCGCGTAACATCCCATTGCAAACGCTCACGGAGGACAAGATCGAAACCTATGACTGCATGGTCACTGCTTCCCAGAGGAGTCATGATCTGGACCTTTTCGACGAGTAGCTGGTCACTAGTTAGAATATAATCTAGTTTTGATGACTTTCCACTAGGGCCCCACCTAGTGTCGTCTCCAACATTCTCAGTCAGTCCCGTGTTTCGAATAGTTTGCAGTAGGTTTCGGCCAAATTTTCCCTTAGCACACCCGGAGCCGAGGTTCAGTGATGGAGCATTGAAATCTCCAGCTATGGTGATTTGGTCGTAGCCCAAATCTCGTATTCCTGTGATAGTGCTGAGCAGTAGCTGATTGTGCTCTGCCCCACAGGTGGGAGATCGGTAGATGCCACCCAGTAAGTGCTTGGTGTGGCCTACGGTGAAATGACACCATATGGAGTCTGGGAGTTCGATAAGTGGTGGGTCCGTTGCGCGCACACATTTAAGTTGCCTATCAAAGTATATAGCAACTCCCCCTCCTTCCTTATTATCCCTGTCTCTTCTGACCAGTACCATATCACCTATACTGATTTCATTGTCGGCGATAGTGGGGTTTAGCCACGTTTCAGTAAGAATGATTATTTTCAGTTGAAGGTGTGCTTGGAGATTTCGGAGTTCACCTACTTTCCCTCTCAGCCCCCTCACATTGCTATATAGGCAACTGACAGTGAGTCTAACAACCTCAGAGTGTTGTGGGGTAGTTGACGTGAAACCGTCTGCTGGTGGGGGACTTGATGTTGGAACTAGTTGGCCGATTCCGATAGAACCGGCCCGTTGTAGTTTTTTTCAATGGATTTAGGCAGGACACT